CAAAAGGGTGGGGGGGGTTTTTTAAAAAGGTTTCTATGAAAGCCTTTGATGTTATCCTCTTTTAATACCAATGTGATTTTAGCCCACAGACTTATCTCATTTGGCATACCCAAAAACACTTCCCTGTTTTAATACTGCTTGTAGCTAGTTCTTGGATATTCTGCACAAGGGGCATGACACCAATTTCCACAAAAATAACAATTTATCCATGTGGAAGCCCGTTTGTTTGATTAACTGCAGACTACACAGAGCTTCAAAATTTGATTTGAATGGTTGATTTACTGTAATTTCTACTAGCAACCTCTTGAATCTTATTAATAACCTCCTTAAATGAAGCTCAGCTATTTGTATTTCTATTTCTAAACTGTACTTGTATATTGGACAGCTTACCGTTTTACGTTCCGGGATTTATTTTTTGTTTGTGTTTGAAAAGGGGCGCCTACAACCCCATCCAATTACAGTCTGCTTTATTGTCCAACAAAACCGTTTGTAACCAGTCAAGGGTTTTGGACCATCAAGGGTTCGGACCAGTCGAGGGTTCGGATCAGTCGATCTGATTGATCAGTGGGTCACTTATTAAAACATACTGGTCGGTGATTTGGGCTAACACATGAAGGATCTACTTGAAATTATCTACCCGAGTAATATTTTGATTTGATTGATACAAAAGTATAACTTGCGTGTTGAAGAACTGGTGATTTCGGGCAGCTCCTACAGTGACAAACGGTCGAGCCTAAACCCCTTGTTTATGAATCGCCGTGTCTAGCTTTTCTAGTTTTTCTCGTCTCCCACCACATAATGCTAAAATTATCACTATAGTTGACTGGTGGAAATTTTGGAGGAAGGACGCTTTAATCTGTAGAAATAATTGTTTCTCGTTGTGTTATATTGCGACCGCTGGTAACTACAGGTTATATGAAATTCACAGTATACGTTTTGTATTTCAAGAAAAAAGAAACTAATGAAAGTCACTTCCACTGCCTAAGTACCATTATAATACTGGTTAGTTGCTACACAACACTGTATTCTGCTAGTCACTGGTATCACTAGATTATATGCGAGTACACTAGCAGGCCAGGAAGATTTTTAAAACAGCTGACCACTGTGGTAATGTTTCTGGCGACTTCTGGCACCTGCCTCTATAGGCTTATCACTTCATTTACAAATTCACCTGTTTTCAAATGACTCTTTAGCCTTTATCATCTATATACTAGGGAGCCACTGTAGTATACACTATACACTATGTATACACAATGTTATCAGGGAGACTTTCTTTCCTCTGACAAAGAAAAGTTCTATTATTATTATTTTGCACACGGAACACAGGCCTATGATTTCCCTCTGGCAGTAAATTCTGCTAGGTAGTGCACACTAATTCTCCTTTTTTGACTCAGTATATAATGTTTTCCGCCCAAGATTGGTTCCAGGCGCTAGAGGGATGTATCGTATAGGATTGATGGCACAAATTAAAGTTCTAGCACGTAAGAGCGACCGTGAAAACACCAGAAAACCCGGAGCACAACGAGGCACGCTGACACGCTGACACGCTGCTATGTGCCATGATAATATACACTTGGAAAATCCTAGAGGCATTAGTCCCAAATTTCCACATGAAAATCACTCCCTACGAAAGCATAAGACTCAGCAG